TTTTTTCCCCCCAAAGCCCCAGTAGATAGTTGTATGTCATAGCTGCACATCCTTCTAGTTGCTGTATGTGGGACGCGGCCTCAGCACGGCCAGAGAAGCAGTGCGTTGGTGCGCGCCCGGGATCCGAACCCGGGCCGCCAGCAGCGGACTGCGCGCACTTAACCGCTAAGCCACGGGCCGGCCCCTAGCCTGAGAATCTTGAGGTCCTAACCCAGGCAGGGAACCAATCACATCCCTCTACAAGCCTCAGTTTTCCCACTTGTAAAATGGGGTTGATAAAGGTAGTGAGAATTAAATAAGGCCTGACACGCCAAGCAGGATGTGGTGCACAGTAAGTGCTCAATAGGTGGATGCTGGGTAGTCATCATTGTTAATCCTAAATGCAGGCTGAGCTATGTGATCCCTTAACAGGATATCTACACAATGTGAGCTCCGCCTGATTGAAGAGCAAGGATATTCACTATAAAAATAACACAGGTTTTTTAAAAATGTGGAAAAATTAGAAAAGAAGAAAATCTCAATCTCCCCACCCAAAGACAGTGGCTACCAACATTTTGGTGTATCTCTTTCTAGAATGTTCTCTCTGTGTATTTCGTATGATGTAATCATATCAGATGCACTTGTCTGTCCCCTGCTATATTCACTTAACATATTTTTAGAACTTTGACATGTGTGCTTAACATTACATTTAATGAGCATATATTATTCCATCATATTGACATGCCATAATTAACTCATGCTCCCTTGTTAGACGTTTAGGTTGTTTCCAACTCTGTAATATTCTAAATATGCAGAAAATGTCATTGTGCATGAAGCTTTTCTTTAGATAGGATTATTTTCTTAGGATAGATTTCCATGATAGTGAGATTTCTGGGTCAAAATGAGTGAACATTCTGGAAATTTTGATACATGTTGACAACCCACTTTCCGAAAGATGATTTCAATTTTCCCTGCTGATTTATGAGAACACTTTGACTCTCTCTCTCTTCAGATTATTTTTGTTTAAAAAAACCTTTGCCAATGTGGGAGGTGGAATGGGGTGTTCGATTCTTGTTCGAATTTATACTTCTTTGATTAGTGGTCAGTGTGGGCATGGCTCCATGTGAGTGATAATAACCTAAGGCTCTTTATCACTGTGGCTTGGTGTTTTTCTTGATGATTTTTATAAGCTTTTTACATAAAGAAAAAAAATTTTGGCCCTTTGTCCATCATTCTTATTGAAATCATTTTTCCCAGTTTGTTATAGTTCTTTAAATTTTGGCTACAGTGGTTTTTAACTTTTTGGATGTTTTCAAACATTGGGCCATCCTAGCTGCCCATCTTCCCCTTTATGATTTCTTCTGGCCTTTCAGAGGCAGGAAATCTCTCTGCCAGAGCCTTGAAATCATCCATGTTGGGGCCGGCCCAGTGGCGTAGTGGTTAAGTTCACATGCTCTGCTTCGGTGGCCCGGGGTTCACAGGTTCGGATCCCAGGCGCAGACCTAGGCACCACTTATCAAGCCATGCTGTGGTAGGTGTCCCACATATAAAGTAGAGGAAGATGGGCACGGATGTTAGCCCAGGGCCAATCTTCCTCAGCAAAAAGAGGAGGATTGGCAACAGATGTTAGCTCA